GCACCCTCTTTATTTTTTAACTTTATTCAATAGAGAATAACACTCTGAATAAAATGACATATCATATGTCAACTTTGACATTATCGCATATGGTTTAATTGAAATTGTAACACGCGGTTCATAACGACAATTTGACTCGAAATACCAAGTATCAATATATTCATAAAAAAAGCTTTTTCGAAATATGCTAACGAGTCACCCTTGTTCCATTTGAAAAAAATTGACATATGATTAAATATACGATTTGTGCATCTTTTAACCGGCCTAGATTAGACACTATTATACGATCAAAACTATTTTTCCAAGGCTCATTAATTAAAACTTAAGGTACCCTAAATTGAAATTTAAAATACGATTTGTTTTTAAGCGACAATGTCAAAAGTTGACATATGATATGCCATTCTATTAATAATAATTAATTTAAGTCATATACTAATATACAAATCTGTTTTTTTTTCTGAAAAAATAAAAGAGTCATAGGGGGGAGCCACTTTTGAGACGCATCCGGTATATTAAAAAATAATGTTTCATAATGTAATATCATTTTAAAATTATTGTATGTTATTTTAGATTCTGAAGATAGTTTTAGAATAAACCGGAATATATTTTTAATAAAAAAATGATTAATTTTTTAACCGATGTCTAATATAATTTATCTTGTATAATAACGGGGTTATAATTATGATTTTGTTACAAAAACTTTTATATAAATGATTATGTAATAGAAAAAATTCAGATTTTACATTTTACTAAAATATTATCTAAATAAGTGCCTTTCTACAACAAAGACACTGACTCCCAAATCGTAAATTGAAAGTTGCTTACCGGTCGAAAGTTGTTTCGAGACTCAAATGGATTATTTAAGTCAAATTTCTTGCAAATTTGGCACTGGCGAACCATATTTTATAGTTCTTGAATACAAAAAGTAAATAAAATAAACATTTAAGGACTACAAACTAAGAAAATGCAATAATACAGCCAGAGAGAAATAGCGGCAACAATGCTTTACTACACACGTGCGACGCGTACTACAGGATAATAGACAGTTAAAGCACGGCCAAAGACGTAGACGTAAACGTATCGTTTGACATGTACGCTTGCGCAGTGAGAAATTCACTTGCGTTTACGGATACGTGATACGTATCTTTACGTGCCTTTACGTACGTACAAAACGCAAACGAATCGAGCCGAAGGAGTTTCGGTTTTCAACCGAATGATGCCGAACGTACAAATTTACAAACAACTTGTTTCCACAACTGGCTAGTAATTAAGTTATTTCATAAATTTTGGGGCCAGTGTAACAGAACTGAGCCTATTTTATTACAATAAATTAGTATGAAAATATTAAGCATCATAATAAACTCATTTTGGAATCTATTTCAGTAAATGCTAGTTCTTAGCCAAAATACATATGAGGATTCTAAAAGATGGAATCTAATAAATAATCATAAAACTGTGTCTGTTTTACAATATTTTTATTACTAAGAGCATTTTAAGTTGTAAGGACTACTTTCTGTAATAAAATAATTTCCGTATAAATAATTTTCTACGTTTGTGGTAAGAAAAAATAATATATTAAACACATTGTTATTGATAAAATTATATTGTATATTATAGATTCTAAAGAAGACCGAATTAAAACTAGTAGAAACGTCAATCATTAAACAAAATGTAAACACAAGTTTCGTTTTATTCCCTACTGACTTCAAACCAAGATTTTAAAAACTTAAAATATAATAACAAAGTCAAAGAAAATTGAAAAAAGAAAAAATATAAATAGTTTTTATAGTACCGTATTATCGAAAAGGAACGGCATCAGCGATTATTATTCAAACATAAATATTATTTTCTCTATTTGTACCTTTTACGGAGCGATCAACATAGTAACATAGGATGACTATTTATCAGCTGTTATTACTAACGTCAAAACAAACCAAAAATTAAATAATATGATAAGTTTTTTGACGATATTTAAATTCGATTTTCAAAATAATGTGAGATAATCAAAACGAGATGAGAAATAAATGGGTTTAATCGGAAGGTTTTCTAAGTCAGTTATTGAATAAGTGTAGTAAACAATATAGGTTACGTGCTTGTAAGAAATTTTTATAAAAAACCGCATATTAAGTATGATATGGTCTCGTACACTTTCGATTAATAATTCATCGGACGTGTTTAATGTAAAACCGCTCCACTAAAAACAGTCGCTCGGCGTAGACTATTCGCCTCCTCCCATGCATTCTCTGATTTCGCCTGATGGCGCGAGTACCGCCGATAGCTCGAAGCGCACCGAGCGCACCGAGCGCGCCGATCTAATGCGGTGCGCGGGCTTACATTTATTTCAACGTAAACTGAAAATTAAGTGTCGCTCGCTCTCGCCGATACCTATTCAGTGCGCGCGGAGCTTAATGTGGAATCAATGGAATAATAGATATCCATTTTCAGTTTTAAAATTAAATAAATTGTTTTACAAAATAATTTAGAATTACAAATGTACCATTTGCGTTACGTACGTCAAAATACTTGCTTTAACTCTTGTTTACACGACAACGCAACGGCAGACGTAACGTAGGTTTCTGCGATACGTGTCGAGAGATACGTATATGTATTGTGCCTTGCTTTAACTATCTAATAGAAGAATGAACAGGCGACCTCGCCTCTAATCGGTGTTGCCATATTGTAAAGGATTTATCCTTTTTACATATTATTCTACTTATAATTAAGTAGTATAAGGACTATTTCATACATCTATGGAATATTAGAACCTACTTTATTAAAATGCAGTATTAATAGCTCAATATATGTGTATAATAAGTAAAAAAATATTGATAATATTAAAGACGTGACAACATAGGCTGGACGAGGAAGGTTTGGTCGGCTGCGGTCGAGTGTACCCAGAAGTAAACATGTGTACAAAAATGATTGTTTGACCGCGTTTAGATGTAAATAGTGTAGTCTATATTTTATTTTAAGTCTATGGTTGGAAGCATATTATAAAGTTTAGGGCCAATATAACTCAGGTATTTCAAATTCAAGTTGTTGTTGCTCACTGGTAATTGCAGATCATTATTTAAATTAGCCCGAGTTATATAATGGTGATTAATGCAATTCAAATTTTTTTTGTTAATATGAATATAGGAGCAAATTGTTAATATATAAAGTGTTCTTATATTACATATTTCTGGAGTAAACAATAATTTTGAGGGATATAATTTATTTTTCTTTAAAAATATTTTCAAAATATACTTCTGGACAATGTTTAATTTATATAAGGCCAAAATTATTATATAACCATAAACTCCGCCCCACACAAAAATACCATATCTAAGAATTGATTCAACGAATATTTTATAAACAGTTATTAATGTTCTTTTATCTAGAAATTCCCTCATCAAGTAAAACTTATGAATTAATTTCCGAATTTTACTACATAAATAGTCGGTATGAGGTTGCCATTTAATGTGTTGGTCTACAATGATGCCAAAATACTTAGTTACCTAAAGCTACCTAAAATTCAAAATTTGAAGTCTGAAACTTCCAAAGTACCTTAGAATTTTGATGATTGGTCAGTCGAAATTAAAGTAATTTCGCAAGCGGAAAATTAAAAAACCGATTTAAATCTGGAGAGAATATAAGATCGATTTGGCTATTGTAAATAAAAACTGAAATAAATTTTATTTACTGATCAGTTTGTGCCAGGGTTGGAAAAAATCATTTTTTTTATTTAAATCAGATTTTTTTTATTTTTTTTGATTTTAATAGAAAACATTATTTAAATCGGATTTCCAAATAATTAGGACTTAATTCCAATTAAATTCTTATCCTAAATGGTTAAATCGTCATAACTCTGCCCAATACTGACAACATTAACAATTCTACGGCGCGTGTCATTTTCCCAGACATCGGTCACCAATATATTCTGCAAAAAAAGTCGCTCGCTTCAGATCAAAAGGATTTTTTTGAAATGCCACAAGAGTATTAATTTTTGTCATTTTAACGCCTAGGCATAAAAGTAAATCACTTTTACGCCTAAGCACAAAAGTACCAAAATATATTATTAAACTGATATTAAGCGCCAATTTCAACGAGTGTACAAATTGTTACTCGATTACTTACAAGGCATTGCTTTTTATATTATTTGCAACGTTTGAAATTGATAAAAAAATTATTTTTAATGTTTAATTTGTAAAAATATAGTATATTCTACTCGGAGTAAAAATGTACTTTTTTGCGTCCCTGTTTACGCTATATAGTCCGTCAAACGTACAACTTCGCCAAAAAAAGTATAATTTTTACTCCTTACACAATACATTATTGTTCGAAAATAGTCTTAAGTCGAGAATGAAATTAGTATTATCTATTGTCAAAGTGTAAAATAAAAAGATATAAAACAGCATATTTTCTGATAACGATTTGAAGATATAGTCTAACATCAAAAGAACCTTTTTCTGCACTAGAGGTTGCGAATGGAATCTATTCGAACAGCATTTTTTTGTCACTTGTACATAAATTTCAAAATAAATCCCTGCCCTTTAGAAGTCTAATGGATTCATACGAAATTACTTCAAATATCGGCCCAACATTTTAATTGATGAATAGATATGTAATAGGTATACGTGTTATACAAACCATTTTTATATAGTTTTATAACATTTACAATTTGTTTTCAATTTATTAAACGTATTTAAACGTTACAATAGTAAGTGTAACATTTCATTTAACGAATAGATATAGGGTATATATGTTATAGAAATATTTTTATAGTTTTCTAGGACACATTTTTATAACTTTTATAGTTATTTTTCGATTTATTGTAAAGTTTTAAAAAAGTTGATTTTTTTTATTTAAATCACATGATCAAAATTAAAAAAATCACTTGATTTAAATCATGCCAACCCTGGTTTGTGCTCATTTCAGGAATTTTGGGCCATGCATAAAATTCAAAATAATATACAAATTCAATGAAAAAAAATTAATGATTATTTCAAAAAATATCTTACCTGGTAAAGCATTTGTCTTGCCGGTGGAATTATATTGGGCCTTATAACATAATCTTTTTCTGAAACAGTATCATTAGGAGTATCCCTAAACAATTTTGCCAGGAAGCCACGTTTTCTTTCGACTTTAAGATGCAATCCCTCTAAAACAAGAAATAACATTTAACAGAATGTTAAGATGGGGATATTATGCAGCTCAGCCATGAAGTGATCGCACATGTAAAGCTTATTTTATTATTAAAAAGATCTAGTCTAGTAATTGGAATTACTTTTTTAAATACGATAAAAAAAGGCAACAGAGATGGCTTAGAAATGAAGATCGCTCATTATGTATTTAATAATTATAGGGAGAATGTCATTGACCGTCATTTTCACGCCAACCTTTTTTCTCCGTCATGCGGTATTTAAATAGGGTTTTTAATAATTTAATCGCGAATAAAAGCTTTTGGATTTTTGTTATTAATATTTTGTAATTTTCATTATCATTCAAATTATCATCGGCAAGAATTATCTCTTTGACGGCAGTGAGTGGTACTACCCCATGTAACTACCCTAAGTGACGACAGAAGCACCACTATTCACTCAGAATTCGAAATTTTTGAAGTGGTTTTAGAGAGTTTAGAGTTAAGAGTTTTATTCCCAATAATAAAAATATGCTAAAATTCCGGATTAGGTCACTTTAAGAATTAATTTTTATATATAAACTTTTTCAAAACAACTTACCTTTAGAACGAATTCTGAAATCAAGTATTTGATAGATACGAGAATTAAAGTCATTCAATGGGTTATAATCAAATTTTATCCAACATAGTCGCCAAGGTCCACCGCTACAGTAATACGAGACACAAGGTAAAAGAACTCTTATTGTGTCATTACTCATTCCTGTTTTATGCATAATACTTATCTTCCTCCATATTGGCTTTTTTTGAAATAGCTGAAATATACAGGGTGAGTCTTAAATAAGTGCAAATATTTCCAGGGCTGGTAGATCTCGATAAAAGAAACATATTTTCTCTTTACCGTTTTTCAAATAAGTCCAAAATAACCGAGTTATTCAAGTTTGAAAATTAAGGTAATTGCAAAAAAATATATTGTTTGCTTAAATTTTGATAACCACTAGTTCTTTTCTGGGTTTTTGTTTCTGGTACATTTAATATACTACCTATGTTGCCATAATATGAAGATATTATGTTTTTTAATTAAAAACTAAAAAAAATTCCAAATTTTTTTTCAAAAAATTACATATTTTTTTTTCGCGGATAAAACCTCAGACGTGTTTTTGGGATCGAAATATACTACCCTAAAAATATTTGCACTTATTTAAGACTCACCCTGTATTTTATAATAAATACATTACATAGTGAATGGAGTAAGTTTAATTTCGAATATATTTTTTTAAATAACTAACTATTGTCCAGGGTAGTGACTCAACCATAGAGCAATGTTAACTCTTGTTTGAAAAATTATTGAAACATATTTCACACAGTAGGTTTAGGGAATGTTACGATAAAGAATTCTTAATTATTTTACACTATACAAGGTGCTTATTTAAATGATATAACTGATATAATAGGCGAAACGAAGTAAATGGTGGCTGCAACCAAACCAAACATTGGAGAAACTTTAAATATGAATTGAGATTTTTCAGCAGTCTAAAAAAATACATTTTAAACTTTATTTTTCTAGAAATTAACCTACCGCAAATGTATAGGCATTATTCTTTTGAATGTTATTAAAATGATATGATAAAATGATAAATGAAAACACCCTGTAGCATATAATTCAAATGTATTTAAAAAGTTAAAATGTTCTAAGTAAATCTAAATGTAAAAGAGAAAAATAGGGTGTTACGTTAAAAAAAACATATTATATTCCTCATATTGTGTGTAACTCGCGTGTATTGTACAATATTTTATCTACGTCTAACTATAAAAACACACAATGAATTTTAAAAATTATTGTCCTTAACTAAATATATACCTATCCTAAAAATCAATTACCTTAATATCTTTATTCAAATAACACCATGCATGACAATGTCAATATGAGAGTCAATTTTATTTTGACTTTACCTGCACCCCTTCATACCTGGAGTCTCCACTGTTTAAAGGCTACCCGTACTGGCAAACGTGGGCCTCTGCCACTATAAATCACAGAGGTGGCGCCCGAGAGATCTAGATTTACCACTAGGCGTCAATAAGGCTATTTTTCACAGAACCAAAGAAATAGCCTTACAGTATGAATATACATACTCTAAAGGTAAGTGTCCATTTGAGAGTATTACTCGCGCGAGAAACCTCGATAGTAGTTCTCGCATGTCGATACACGTTTGCGACTACCTATCGAAAAATATTCATTTTACTATCAATAGTTTACTCGCAACGATTTGCTCTCAAGTGTATACATATTATTTTTAATAGCGGATACTTCTGAAATACGATTAAGGTAAGTGTCCATTGGAGAGTAATTCGTGCGAGTGACTCTCGATAGTCACTCTAAAGAGAGTATCCGTTTGAGAGCGATTTAAAGAATTTTTGCTATCGGCTAGATAACTAAAAACTCTCCAAATGCTTACTCTCATACATATCTGTCAAGAGGGTATCCATTTGAGATTTCTGTTTCATCAACTGCCTTTCTTTGTGTATTAACGTGTTTTTTTTTAATCAATTTAGTTATTCCCTCATATAAAACATATATATATATATACAACACATAAATAATGTACAGCATATACATATCATAGAAGATCTGGGTGTCGTTCTTCTTCATCTGCCGCATCAGTGACCTGTTGGTACCAGATCCTGGCCAGATGGTATCTGAGGCATTCTTTTCTTAATTATTTCTGTCGTCGATTTCTGAATTTAGTGTATGGTTCTATTTAATATTAACCATTTAATCCTCTTTTTGAATTGTATAAATTTCAATTTTTTTACCTTCTCTGCTAAACTATTGAATGTTTGAATTGTTTTTGCTGTTAGTCTCTGTGTTAATGTCTTATTTTTTACTTTATGGCATCTAATATGTGACTTTTTCCTTATTTGGTAATTCTGAACTTCCTTGTTTGTATTTAATTTAATATTTAGCAAGCCATTAAAAAGTATTAATTGTTTAATATCTAGTTCTTGGACTGTATCAAATAATAGCTTTTTTCGTTTTCCTGTTATTACTGATTCTGAACCGTCCTAGAACTCTGCAGCGCATGCGCAAATGAAATAATGTCTTCATATTTCCTTCTGCGCATACGCATCACAGTTCTAGGACGGTTCAGAATCGGTAATAACAGGAAAACGAAAAAAGCTAATATGTGTGTTGGTGTTCTTTTGTGTAATTTATATATTAATTTTAAAATTTTATTTTGTTGACGTTGCAATGCGTTGAAATTCTTTTCGATCGTATTACTCCATATATTCATTAAATAGTTCATCCTTGAGGTAAACAGTGCCAGATATGAAGGTTTTCTCATGTTATTTGGTATCAATTTTTGAATTTTTATTAAAGTTGCAATTGTGCGTATATTTTCATTTTTCGGCTTTACTACATGAGCATCCCATTTCAAATTATTTTGTATTTTTAACCCTAAATAGTTGATTGTTGATGTTTCTCGTAGAATATGGTTTTGTAGTTTTATTTGTAAGTTTAATTTTAGTTTTGTGGTTTTAAATATCATGTATTCTGTTTTTAGCTCGTTTATGGTTAGGAGATTAGTGTAGCACCATGTTTGCACTGTTTGCAGGTCTTTGTTGATGTTTGTTTCGAGGATGTTCTGATCTGTTCCTGTATATACTAAACATGTATCAACGGCATATCCATATATGACGCCATTTAATGCTAGTTCGCAGAGATCGTTTGGATAAAGGATATACAGGAGAGGTGATAGGGACGCGCCAAGTATTTTCGGCGCCGTCGTGCGAAATATGGGTAGGCGCCTTTCTCCAATATTATAATAGTAGTTAAAATTTCCAATGACCAGCGGCGCGGCGCTCGACATTGGTGGATAATATATTTTACCACTAGCGTTCATAGATAAAAGTATTACTTAAATTTTATGTTAATTTGTTGATAAGCTCCAAAAAATGGTTTTAATATTTTTTTAAAGTCGGTGATCGCAGGAGCCTTTAGGGCCCTGGCGCCGTCGTGCACCGCACGACCTTACCCATATGGCGCGTCCCTGAGAGGTGGTAGATTTCCTCCTCGCGGTGTCTCATATGGCGCCATGGTAGTTTTACTTTCAATATTTTCCTGTTATTGTTGACGTTGCAATGCGTTGAAATCCTTTTCGGTCGTATTCCTCCATATATTCATTAAATAGTTCATCCTGGAGGTAAACAGTGCGTGATATAAGGTTTCCTCATGTTATTTGGTATCAATTTTTGAATTTTTATTAAAGCTGCAATAATTGTGCGTATATTTTCATTTTTCAGCTTTACTACATGAGCATCCCATTTCAAATTATTTTGTATTTTTAACCCTAAATAGTTGATTGTTGATGTTTCTCGTAGAATATGGTTTTGTAGTTTTATTTGTAAGTTTAATTTTTGTTTTGTGATTTTAAATATCATATATTCTGTTTTTAGCTCGTTTATGGTTAGGAGATTAGTGTAGCACCATGTTTGCACTGGTTGCAGGTCTTTGTTGATGTTTGTTTCAAGGATGTTCTGATCTGTTCCTGTATATACTAAACATGTATCATCGGCATATCTATATATGATGCCATTTAATGATTTAATGCTAATTCGCAGAGATCGTTTGTATAAAGGATATACAGGAGGTGGTAGATTTCCTCCTTGCGGTATCTCATATGGCGCCATGGTAGTTTTACTTTCATTATTTTCCATGCAAATTTTTTGTGGTCGATTTTTTAAATAGCTTTCCGTTAGTTCTAGTATGTGTTGATTCAGTTTGTATTTTTGTAATTTTTCATTTAATTTGTTAGTGAATGAATAAATGAATAAATAATATGTGTAGTGTGAAAGAAACATAGAAGTGCAGATAGTTAATCCCATGGTATCCCACAAAACTGTATTTTCCTCGTATATACTTATTAAAGTATCGTCTTTTGACCACTCTTTTCGAGTAGCTGACATTTTAAATTAATAACTGCTAGAACTATCACAATACGAAACGTAATCGTATTTCAGAAGTAACTATCCACTATTAAAAATAATATGTATATACTTGAGAACAAATCGTTGCGAGTAAACTATTGATAGTAAAATGAATATTCTCCGATAAGTAGTCGCAGACGTGTATCGACATCCGAGAACTACTATCGAGAGTTTCTCGCGCGAGTAATACTCTCAAATGGACACTTACCTTTACGTTTCGTATTGTAATAGTTCTAGCAGAGAATTATTAATTTAAAATGGCAGCTACTCGCAAAGAGTTGTCAAAAGATGATACTTTGATAAGTATATAGAGGAAAATGCAGTTTTGTGGGATACCATGGGATTAACTATCTGCACTTCTATGTTTCTTTCACACTACACATAAACAAATTAAATGAAAAATTACAAAAATACAAACTGAATCAACACATACTAGAACTAACGGAAAGCTATTTAAAAAATCGCCCACAAAAAATTTGCATGGAAAATATTGAAAGTAAAACTACCATGGCGCCATATGAGACACCGCGAGGAGGAAATCTACCACCTCTCAGGGACGCGCCATATGGGTAAGGTCGTGCGGCGCACGACGGCGCCAGGGCCCTAAAGGCTCCTGCGATCACCGACTTTAAAAAAATATTAAAACCATTTTTTGGAGCTTATCAACAAATTAACATAAAATTTAAGTAATACTTTTATCTATGAACGCTAGTGGTAAAATATATTATCCACCAATGTCGAGCGCCGCGCCGCTGGTCATTGGAAATTTTGGCTTACTATTATAATATTGGAGAAAGGCGCCTACCCATATTTCGCACGACGGCGCCGA